CTTAATAAGCGATCAAACCCAAAGGTCATAATCAGATTATTTTTATATCAATCATAATGTTTAACAAATAACAAAAATGAAAAGTGACGATTTGGTATACAGACCGTTGAACGAAGTGACAATTGACAAACTCTTGGAATTAGGAACATAATTTGATATACCTGGTACTGATTTTTGTAGGGAATACTTGTCCCTGATTGGGGTGGATCAAACGGGTTCCCCACCGAATCGGGTGAAATTTTCATGTCTAGTTGGATTTTAAAGCTTTAATTTTATCTTTGAAGACATTCATTTTGTTTTCCAACTTCTCTATTTTCGGTCTGACAATCAATAACAATCTCTTCAAAAACTTTCATCCTCATACAAGAATGTTACATCTTAATTAAAAGGGATAGACTCGTAATCCAACATCTCATTTTTAAGAATAATCAGACTATGTTTGGCCACTTTCTATTTTGGAGATGATTATAGCCCTTTATGTCAAAATGGTAACGTGGTGACAAATGACACCTCTATAACTGATTTGATTGATCCTCCAACACTTCCTCCTACTAGATCATTACGAACTCATACTCGTTTCTCTTATCTTAAGGACGATCATTGTAACATGGTTGTGAATTCAAACATGCATTCTTAATGTCGATATCCTTTGTTTGGTTTTGTTTAATGAAGTGAATAAATCAGTGTAATGACATGATGTTATGAATGATGAATTAAGGACCTTAGAATTGAATAACACTTGGAAGATTGTTCCACTTTCCATTGACTGAAAAGTTTAGGTTGCAAATAGGTATTTAAAAGAGGAAAAGGTTCTTCTTATGTTGCGCTACTTCTGTATGCCAACAAAATCATAATCATTGCAAGAAATAAATGTGGTTAAATGGTCTTTGAGTAAAAGTTTAAGAGATTATATATTAGAATAATAATCAAAAAGTCAATAGTAATTAAAAACTAAAATGGAAAATACAAATATCAAATCCTCTTCTTTTGGACTTCAACTAGCAACTGCCTTGACAAAATCCATTGCTTTCGATTGGAATAAACAGCAATGAAAACAAACTGTGAGAAGCAAAGAAGCATGATGATGGCTTCAAAGAGGAAAGGGTATTTCTTGGGTGGGTTTACTTTCAGATAAATTACGTGAAGAACAAGCGACAAGAGAAGAAGACAAACAATCAGAAATGATACAAAAAAAATAGGTTTTTGTGTGTTGGGTTTGGGTTTGGGTTTAGGTTTTCCATAGTGAATGAAGATGAAGATGCCATAAAGAGCGATATATGGGAGAAGTAATTTATCACGAAGTAAAAGAGGAAACATAGAGAATAAGGCGAATTGTGTTAGCCATTGAAAAAGGAAAGGCTCTTCTACTGCTAACAGGCTTGCTGGCAACACTGCCAAAAGAATTGACTTCTCGTGTACTGTAATTAATATAAAATCATCCTTCAAAAATTATTATAATATTATATCCATATTTGATCAATTTCAATATGCAATTTATATTTATCATACATAATATGAATTATGCTGTCTTTTGAGATTTTTAAGATAAAAAAAAAAAAAAAATGCAACATATAGAAAACACGCTTTTACATCATTTTATCGATTTTGTTGGTTCAGTTTAACTATTTCCTGTAGTGTAGTGAGTAAACAATTATACTTTTTTTGAAATTTCAAGAAAACCATTGAAATATTTTTGCCATTATTGTGATTTAACCATTATACTTTTGCTATGAAACACAACGTATTCTCAAGTCACTAGATTAATAATTTTTATAATTATTATAATAAAGTTATGTGGCTAAATCTAAAAAATTAATAGTTCCTTGGTTAAATCAATAAAATGGTGAAAGTACGTTATGCTTTTTCTGTATTTTGACATGATATTTTCTTAAACAAGACAAGAAATAAAAAATAAAAAAAAGGTTTAATCACTACTAAAAATTAGTTAAGTTGAGTAGCTAAAATGATATAATGGTGTATTTTCCACTTAAAAACAAGGTGATTTGACTTTTATATCTCCATCATGATTCTCTCTCTCTCTCTCTCTCTCTCTCTCTCTCTCTCTCTCGGATTAAAAAGAGGGTATAAAAGTCAAATCATCTTAATTTTAAGTGCATGGATCAAAAACCTCTCAAATTTGGCTTAAAAAACAGGTTTACAGATTGATAAAATAAATATGGAATGATGAGATACATACCTTGAAATGAGAAGAAATAGAAGGAGAAAGCAGAATTAAGAAGTCCATAGAGGAAACCTCGTTTACTTGGTGCCTTTATTTGTAGAAACATGGAAGGAAGACATGAAGAAAGAGTGATTGTAAGACTTAACAGCTTCAGTGATTGTGTTGTAAATAATTGTTTCCACTTAATCAGGACTGAAGTTGTGCACCAAAAATTAGCCACATAGTCTTCATATATTCCCCTCTCAAAAGGCGCCAAACGTGACACAACCTATATATAAATACAAAATATATATATCTCAATGTCACAATTTCAAAAACTCATCAACATTGTACTTTAAACTATTTTCTTATTAAAGCGAATTATAGCATTGAACTTTCACTTTTTTCTTATTAGGACACAGTTAAGTACAATTTTTGTAATAGAATGCTATAACAAATACATCAATGGAAGTACATTAACATTAACATTACTATTTCTTGCATTTAACTCAAAAAAGAAAAAAGAAAAAAGAAAAAAGAAAACAGATGTACCTCAAAAATTGCAACTTTGGAGTGAATATATGGCCACCAAATAAGAGCAAATGTTCCTATAACAACTATGCCCAATTTCACAACCTCCAAAACTGGATTTTTACACCTTAAACTTTTTCCCAATAAATAGCTGAAAAATGCAGGAGCAAAATAAGCACTCATCTGCACAAACATCCAAAACATAACTCAGTATATGTATTATGTAATAAACCTAAATAAAAATTGGGGCAAAAATCTAATAAAAGAAACTAGATGGGCTGTTTTGTAAATTGGGAAAAGTTGGGTGTTAGAAGAAGAAGAAGAAGAAACCTGTTTGTGGTTGAGAGCAAGAGTGAAGAAGAATGAAGCAACAAGATCTTTGTCACAAAGTAAAGCTGCAACAGCTCCAATGGTAAGTCCTAAGCTTATGCAGTTATACTGAAATCATAAAAAAATATAAATATATTTTACAGGTTTTAGAATGTAAATAGAAAGTTTTAGGGTTAAATGCAAGAAATAGCAAATATTTATTATAACATAATCCTACTTTCATTCTTTCCAATTACAGCATTGTTTTGAAAATTGAAATAATCAACCCAATTATAGCAATGTCATCAAAATACAAAAGATTTTTCACATCTATAATAAGAAAAATCAAAACCCAAAGTACAACGCCAAAATCAGGTAGATTTTTCAAAGTGCAATAATGCATCCTTAATAAGGAAAAAATTGGAAGTTCAATGTTGTAATAGAAAGAAATATATGTTGATATTTATAGCATTTAGACCAATATCTAATACATGCCTGAAAATGACCATGATCAATAAGGATGAGGCATGGGTTAAGTAGAATCATTGCAACATGCCATGGTAAGTTACTTTTATACCCTTTTGATTGGCTTGCATAGACTATAATAAACCATAGAACTGCAGGAAAGAATATGAGGACATCAGAGGTTAAAACTGTCCACCTCATTAGCAGTTTTCTGCAGAAAGAACATAGAAAAGAAAAGAAGTTGGAAATTTGTTGGTAATGTTTTTTTCAGTTAGATATCAATATAGGGTGTGTTTGGTTCGCAGTAATTGGAATCAGAGATTCCATTCCATGGCTTGTTTAGCTGCCAAATGAATGGAATTCAATTCCAACTGAACCCTTTAAATCCCTTCAATCCTTCCAAAAACATTCTACAAAGTACAAACCAAACAACCCCTAATATGTATATGCTAACATATTGAAATATTTGTAAATTTAAATAGTGTAAAAGAAAAACACAAAAGATGAAAAACAACTAACCCAATATAAGATTCATGGCCACGTGAGGAATAAAGTGAAACCGAATCTGGATGGAAGAATCTTAGAAAAATCCCATGAACATAACTTTGATAAGCAGTAAGTGGTGGATAATCAAGTCCCCAATAAGTAAGATCATTACAAGTGCTGTTGTGATACCATTCATTGACAGGTAAATTGGTTGTGATCTCCATCCAATGTCTTTGTGCTTCAAAATCTCCATATTTTGGTGAATCACCAGCTCCAGAATATGGATGCATAGATACAGCAACTCGAACAAGAATTGAAAATAGACTAATGCAAATGAATGGACCAGATATACCCTTGTCCATTAACCACAACCAATCACTATTGTTGTCAACCTCTTCTTTTATTCCCTTTTTTACCCTTGACTTTTCCATTTCTTTGAGTATTACACAATACTGAACTTGGTGATGAAAACTACAAATGAGATAATGTTAAAAAATAAATTATACAGAATGAAAATTACATTCTGTTTGGTTCCCTGTTGCACAATTATGAACATTGCAGTTTCACATATACATCTAAACGATTGAAGTAAATCCAAAGCAGTAAAGGATTGAAGAAAATCACAAAGAAGCTGACTGGGTTAACTTCTGACTTAGTTAACTTGTGAGTAAAACTTATTGTTTAATTTTGCATCTGATTGACTGTATAAAATAACTATATGACCCTCAAACATGAATGTTATATTAATGTAGAGCACATCCATTCCATCAATCCAAGTACATAGCATTCTATCAGCATCAAATAGCAAACCTTGTTGGGTTCAAATAGAGATTAAAACAAAAGTGCAGAAAAGATAAAAGAAAGGGAAGCAACTAAGAGGGTGGGTGTGTACACAAACAAAGAACTTTATTGATATAACCCAACAACATTTTA